CTGCCAGGAGGTAGCAGCCTTTTCTTTGCAATGCACTCCGATCTGAAGCTTTAACGTGGCTGATTTTTAAGTCCYCTCTAAATTGGCGTCTCTAAAATAGCGCCGCTTAATGAACTAGGGAAAACAGAAATCTAAATGGAAGGTCTATAAATGAAAAATCTTTAATGTTACCTGGTTAATGCTAAACCAGMGCTAATCCCAAGGGTCCACTTGGGACAGCGCTGGTGCTGTGGCGATCCCGTCCAGACACTACAAATTGTGTGTGACGAGTAAGGACCGTAATTTCCTTTCCGTATATTTGAGCTGTGTATTTTATGCTCTTTGCCCATAATGTGGGACCTGTGATAGTCCATACACGTGGTTTTCCACAGGCTTGCAAGATCACGCTGCCCTCAGTATCTTTCCTACATTTATTTGCTCGTTTATGATGCTGAGTGTTGAAACAAGTAAGTGTTCTGAATTTCAAAGGCTGGGTACTGACACCTTGTAACACACTGACACCTTGAAATGCACAGGGACCTTGAGTGTTTCTCCATGGGTAAAATGGGAAAAATAATTTCAAAAATAGATCACAGCAGGAAAAAAGCTTAAATACCAAAAGTTGTGCAAAGCGCAGTAAAAGCAGTCAAGGTTCCTGCACAGAGAGACACAGTGGGAAGGAAGGGCTGTCACAGGGGCACCATGAGGGCAGCACGTCCTGGGACTGCCTGGGATTGACCTGAAAAACATTTTATTGGAAAGATAAATTTAGCATGTGAAACAGTCATCAGAGTTTACCACAAATCTGCTTTTTGAGTTGATCTTCCATTGCATGCTGCCTGGAAATCTTCCTGTGTGCTGCTGTAAGGCTCTGGGAATTAGCGTGGGATCATATTTTATCCACATGTCTCTTAACCACAGAGTCATACTGTTTTAATTTTAAAAGCTTTATTACAGATTGCCCGTTTTTCTGAAGGGCAAACTGAAAACAAATAATTATTGATGTCACAGGTCATGGCGATGGTTTGGGTTGTAGAAATATTTTCCAACTATGCGGCCGTTAGAGCTTGGCTTTGTCCCTTAGTGGCAAATCTGATTATTACTGGTTGCCTTTAAAAAAATACAAATTATGCGGTTCTCGTTTTTAGGGCATATCATAAATAGTTTACTTGTTTTGATTTTCTTTTTAGCTCTGAATTTTTTCAACTTTTTTATTTAACAGCATTTTCAGCAAAACTGTACATAAAGAGCAAGCCAGAACTTGAAATTACACAGAGGACATATATAAAAAAATAATAGGCTAAATTGAGACAAATACCTGTTTGAAACCAATTTTTGAACCAAATATAGYTCATACTGGATGTGTGTCGAAGCAATGTGTTAATGTCACTATTTGAGAAGGAAATTGTTTTAAGGAACGTGACGTGTATTGAAATGTGCGGGAGGAGAGGCTGAGGCGGGATGGAGACATATTACACCCACTCCTGAACAGCAGGGGTTTGTTCCTTACCAAAAATTAGTGCGAATTTAATCATTTTACCCGTTCCTWATGGCTAGGAGCCGCCCGTGGGCGGGCCCGGCACGGCGGCAGGGGCGGAGCGGGACAGGGCGCGATGGCGGCYGAGCTGCGGGAGGAGCTGGAGCGGCGGCTGCGGGAKCTGGGCATCGCCACCGTCACCGCCGAGCACCCCCAGGTACGGCACCGCGCTCCGGCCTTCTCGGGAGCCCGGATAATCCGGGAATAAAACCCTGCCTGCCAGCGGGGCACCGTGGCATCAGGCSCCTGCGCGAGTTTTTGGCATAATTGTCAGTGGGGAAGTTTTCGTCACCTGACGAAGGGCCTGGCAGAACGTTTGGGGGGTGGATTTTTTTGGTCGTTTTGACTCTCTTTGTGCCTCCATTTCCCCCCCCTTTCCCCCTGCAGTTCCCTGGCAGTTTAAGGAGCTTCCACCCACTTCTTTCCGCAGCAATCAAGACTTTTTCTCGTTCCCAGTTACGAGCCACATCATTCCAGTGTTTGGAGTGAGGTGGCAAACGAGAGCGCCCCCAGTTCTGCCTTTAAAGCGAGGCATTGCTGTACGCACGAGACAGAAATGATTCTGAAAGCGTGCTGGAGCAGKTCGTCACATTTTATTTGTGTTCTAKTAACATTTCTTCATAAAATGGTACAGCTTTTAGGCCGAGTAGAACATTCAGTATTTTCTAAATATTTAACAAAAGGTATCTGCCAGCACATGACTGGGAGTCTAATGGGATATGGAGCATGACACCACGCTGGTGCTGTTTTCCAGGTGTTCACTGTTGAAGAAATGATGCCCCATGTCCAACACATGAAAGGAGGTCACAGTAAAAACCTGTTCCTTAAAGACAAAAAGAAGAAAGGGTTCTGGCTGGTGACTGTCCTGCACAACAGGCAGGTCAACTTAAATGAACTTGGTAAAAAATTGGGCGTTGGAAGTGGAAACCTAAGATTTGCTGATGAAAATGCCATGCTGGAAAAGCTCAGAGTGGGCCAGGGCTGTGCCACACCCCTCGCCCTCTTCTGTGATCAGGGAGATGTAAGACTGGTGCTGGAYGCTGCCTTGCTTGAAGGGGGCCACGAAAAGGTGTATTTTCATCCAATGACAAATTCTGCAACCATGGGCTTAAGCCCTGAYGACTTCCTGAAGTTTGTGAGATCAACAGGCCACGATCCCATCATTCTACATTTCAATGAAGACATTATATAGAGGAAGTTCACTTTTCTACTACTACTCACAGATTTTGTGGAGCAAAACTGGTGAAAATCTTGTTACAAATAAAACTTTAAAAAAACTGGCTTACTCCTTTATAATTTTTTTTTCAGTTGTGTAAGTTTATAGTGTATAATCTGGTGAGAAAAAATACTACCTTTGAGTTATTAGAAGTTTAACAATGTTCTTAAAAAGGTATTTTGCAATCTACCAAGTAGCTAGTAAGTAGAAAAGGCATTATTTAAATACTTTATAATCTTTACCAATAAATTAATAAAACTGGGGTTTCCAGGGCGTGGGACTATCCGTGAAGGTTTAAACTTGACATCACAAGGAAAGAACAAATTCCAAATTGTAGAACACCTGTCAATACTCCCAGGACAGAGATGGGGCAATTGTGTCCCTACATGCATTTATGCCAAACTACACATTGCTTTTATTCTTACCTAAAAAACAACTTGCCTATGCTACAGGAAACACATTTGATTGTCATTTTTCAGCCATGGTGTGTTGAAGACAGAAGCAGCAGAAACTCCATCAAGTCCATTAAACATCCCATGGCAACAAGCAGCCCCCAAAATCCAAAGCCAGGGGAGCAATGAGTGAGGGATGGAACCTATAGGTGATGGGGGTAAAGGCTTTTGCATTCAGCCTACAAAAAATGTCACGTACAAACGATGTCTCCAGGGCAAGAACATCAGCACAGGCTGGGATGAACAGAAACAAAAACTACAGGAGCATGAATTACAAGCACATAAAAGGATTTGTGATCTTGGATGAATGAACAATTACTGAGTATGAAAAAACATCATCTAGGGCAAGGCAAGTTCCTTCACCCAGAACCTTACCACAGTTTCCTTCATTCTGGAAGGATCTGGCACCTGTTCTCAGAGCTGTTAGTGACAGAACACTTCACCACCCAGCAGTTTAGGTTCTCCACCTYTGACAGACACAACCAACCCCATCTATTCTGAGAGCCATGTCCAGTGAGAAAGAAGTGACCAAAATGCCAAAGCTGTATGAGAGTCAGTAGAGAGATGTCCGGATACATGTGATTTTATAGACTGAAGTGAATATCTGATACTTAGGAATACTGGGGTGATGAATGAGCTCTGGATTGACCAATGCAGAACTAAATTAGCTCCATATTAAAATACATTAAAATATGTCTTTAAAATTTATCTTGCTCTCTGCCATTCACTCTCCTTTCCCCTTACGTCCTTTTCTTCATGGTACCCCAAAATCCCTTATCACTTAAAAAAAACCAGTATCAGATTTGACTTGCCAAGGTTTTTAAATGTGGAGTGTTTTAAATGTGACAAAYTGAAGGATGTGCACAATCCTGTAATCTGCACTGACTGAAGTGCAACTACCTTCGTTCCTCAGAAGGCATCCTGCAACTTGTCTCAGCAAAAATAACTACCATGCTTCAAATACTATATTTGGCAAATCTAKAATGATTTCTTTTTGTATTTACTTATGAAATCAGTGTGGGTTCTAAAAAAAAATAAGTATCAAAATAACGTACAGTTAAAAGCTACCCAGCTCTACACAAATCACACAGAACAAATTACACATGGTCCAGAAAAATTCTGCTACAGTTTTATCAGTTTCCTTCCAGAAGAAATAGTCACTGCACACATCACCACRACACCAATACCCTTCCAGTAACATCAGTTTCCAGAAAAAGTGTGCATAAATATACACAAAATAAGAATAAAAATTATTTGGTTTGGCATTTTAATAACATCATTAATAAATGTATACAATGACAAACATTAAAAAAATCAATGTGTAAAGGAAATTACAGTTTTAAATAAGAGCTTTAGAAGTTCTGTTTCACACCTAGGTACATTCCTTTAAGGCAGTTTTATTAATATCAAAGCATTATTTACATATACATCATCAGCTACCCCTAAAAATCACACATGAGCTCCTTTGTTAGGCTGCATCATGTCCCGGACAAAGTTTAGAAATAATAATAATCATACATGTTGGGAATGTTACTAAATCCTCAGAGACTATCAGAAAAGTAAGTATAACATACATAATGTATGGCATGAGAACCTCCTTTGTAACCTGGAACTGGCAGTGATGTATTTGGGATTCCTGGGGTACAAAGGGATATTTGTGCTCCTGTCTGCACAGTCCCACAGCTGCCATTTGTTTCCCTGGGATTGGGAGTATCAGGAACTGTGAAGCTGCTCCCAAATTAAATTTACTTTTTACTTTATGGGTATAGACTGGGAAGATTAAGAAAGGAAGAAGAGGGGAACCAGCAGAGCACAGAGAGCCACCTGACTCGTTGAATGCCGTGGAACTTCTCTGCAAAACGAAGTGGACAGCTTGGGAAAAGCAGAGCTGGTCAATGGAATGGGAGGGGATCCCCATGTGATGGAAACAACACATCCAAGTGTGGTGCCCAGCAGTGCTCCACACAWGGGAGTGTGTGCCAGAGTCATGACAATGACAGTGAGAGTGTCCCCAGACACAGCCACCTGCTCAGATCCTGGGAGCACAAGCAACATTTGGCACTGCAGTTTCAATCTCTTGGTTCAAGCCATGCGGCTTCCTATAACAGTAATGTAACAAATTATTCAGGGTCGGGGGTTTSAGCTGCATCAGTCCTCTGTCAGCAGAGTGAGGAGAACCTCGCATTTCAGGCACAGGCCCTGAAATGAGCTTGAACACACAGTCATTTAGACTTAAGAGAGATTTGCCTRATCTTTATGGCCTTTGATTTGTCTGTCATACACGCTACACCCTTAGTATAGATCTTTTAGCTCATGTTACCATAAAAAAAATTCAGAAGAAAGTATTTTTAAAGAAAGCAAACTGAAAAATTCTCCCTTCTAAAGCTTATTGAGCATGCCTCTTTTTTCCCCTTTTTGACACGATTTCATGCTTTTGAATCTRCTGAACTGAATTCAGCAGTGGTGCTCATCTTCACTGAGGAAGCTGCAGGCAACACTATTGCACCTGCTGTTAGACACTCGGAGATGACACAGGGAACTCAACCCTTTACATGAGGAGCAGGAATGTACTTACTGGCTTTTATAAAACAGAACTCAYTCTGGGTTTCAGTTCCTGTCCACTTCCTTTAAGCTGACTGCAAATCTTTCCAGACAAATATATGCAACCACCAAATGTACCAGTAACGTTTTTTGACTTTAATGTAAATCAATAATGAACAAAATGTATCTAGTAAGAGATAACTTTAAAGGGAACTGATTGTAAAATGCATATGATATTATTTACATTTCTTTTTGCCATCAAGAAACCTCCTAAGCCACAATCAGCTCATGTCAAAAGACAAACAGTAAAAAAAAATTAGTCAATACACAAACGTTGTAAGTCTTATCTTGGAAATGGCATTTGTGGAAAACAGCCTTATATTAAAATAAAGTTATAGAAAAACCATACCTGACAATTTCCTGTCAGAAACATCTGAACATACATATGCAGAGTAACTTGGGAATGTGAAAAACACAAAGGACAAGCAATGTCTCTATAATACCATTATCCCATGACTCCCACTTGTTAGTTACCAAGCTTTTCCATGGATGTAAACAAACTTTTCTCTTGCAGTATGCAACAAAAATCAGCATAAACTTTCTTAAGAGCAATTTCATGCAGATTATGCTAACCAAATAAGGCAGTGAAGCGCCAGTAGCTGTGAGGTTTTTGCATCTGTACATACAGTCCATTTCAACAAAATTCTACAGCATTTCCTTTTGATTTACAGACGTAAATATAAACTGCTAGTTATGGGGTTTTTTGGCTAATTATTAGCAGAAGCTTAAGCAAATCAGTGGCTAATTTCAAAAACAGAAGATGAAATAAGTTTTGCTTTGTTTTTTTTTTTTTCCCCGGAGTAATTCTTGAGACCTTAAAATCCTTGGTCCTTAGGGAGATGAGAACTGTCCTTTATTCAGTAGATCTTAACAGTGCAATGTGCAATAATTCCTAAGACCATCTACACATTTTCGGCAGTAGACTCCAGTAGAGCTCCTTGATTCAAGGAAGGAAGGTAGGTAGGTAGGTTTTTATTTCTTGCCTGCTCTAGTCACGAAGAATGTACAAAATTCCCTTAATTTTTATTAATGATTCCTACAGTCGCTGTCTTGTTACTTCAGATATAAAGGCTTCACACTGAGATACTGAAGGACACTTTTCTCTCTGTGTTCAGTCGAAAGGCAGAAAGAGAAAAGAATGTAAGAAAAAGCTTTAGGTGTAGAGGCACAACACACAGAGTTCAGTCACTAACAGCACTAACAGCATGCACCAAAGGGGCTCAAGAAGTCGAGAGGAGGACAGAACACCAAAACCAAGCTTTATAAAAAGGCAGATTCCGTGGGGTACTGAATACTCAAGAGTTTTGTTCAACTATGCGTTCAGATTTACCTGTCCCTGGCTAAAAACTGACTTCAGTATTATTTCTTAATGGGATTTCTTTGAACTTTCTTCTTCAGCAGATTGGAAAAGTAAAAATAAATGTCATTTTTACAGGCAAAAAGCTATGCGGGACGAGGTTCCCTGCCTCTGGAAGAAGCTCTGGAGAGCCACCAGCCCCGGCCTAATGAGTGAGCGCGAGAGAAGCCGGGTAAGCAAGCAGTATTTACATCTGGTTAATGCAACGTGCTCTGGGGCTGAGATGGAATGCTGTTAGTTTGTTGTAAATGAAATTCATCTCATTTACAGATTGGGCAGGAAACTCACCACTTGGCCCACAGCTCAGGTAGTGGGTAATAGAATTAGGAGCTTTGTTGCTCCCTAGACCTGCTTTTTGAATTTCTGCTTTCTGGGATAGCTTCCACATCTGCAGAGAAAAGCATTTCAGGTTATTCATTGTGTTTATCAGGACATGAAAAAAACCCTCATGCATTAACATACATTCTACTCATTAGGAGAGCAAAAGGATATATAAACACTTTCCAGTTGTTTTTAAGAGGAGAGGACAGAGGAGAGGGACAGAAGAAACTCACGGCAAGTGCCTGCTTAGCTACACTCACTAACATTCATCTGAGCATTTAGAACAGCTAGGTGTTATTCCTAAAGCCACAGTCAGGTATGTCACCTGTAGCTATACCAACCCTACATTTCTGCATGTATGGAAAGAAAAGTAAWGAGGTGCAATCACAGCTGACTGACCCTAGCAGAGAACTTCCTTCATTTTATTTCGATCTGCTGCACACKGATGGAAACGCTCACGTTCAGTTCCACAAACCACAAAATGGTCTTTGCATGCAACAGCTTGAACATGCAAAACTGAATTCACAAATCACTTGAAAGCAAAGCATCAAGCAAACCCTGAGCCAGGCAAACCCCAAACCAGGCAAACTTCGACTGTAAGCGAACAGCTGAGCTTGAACAACAAAACCTTTCTGGGCAGGAGCCATGTATTTAGTGTTTATCAGTACCATGCAAAGTCCTAACTTAGCATTGTATGAGGCAGCAGGGACCAAGGACTGAGCAAGAGCTCCATGTGTTTCACAGCCTGCCATGCACATGGCTGAGAAGCAGCAACAATTGGGAATGAAGGGAATTCCACATAACCTTCCACTACTTGAACATACATAAACATTCATGAACTTCTTGTTAAAGACCAAAAAGTGGAGGAAAAAAATGATCCTTCTGTCCATGACAACATTTTCTTCCTTTCCTATGTAACAAACAAATGTTGGTAARTCATTATTCAGAGCCCTTAAACACTCCCTTGCAGAACACTTCTGCTGCTGCTMCTGAACTTAGTGGAGCAAAACCAGGAGCACAAAAAGTTTTTCTCAGAACTGAAATCCATTACAAATTTATAAACCAAAGCAGAGTGGCTTGAGCTGGACAAAGTTAGTCTCCAGCTCCTGTAGATTGAATACTCTAGTCCTCTAGGGCACTCGGACTGTTATTCTGAAGCCCTTGGGGTTTAAGAGGGAAGCTGGGGACAATACTGGATGTTTTAGTAGTTGTGACTAAGAACCTAAGCAAGATGAGGAGGTAACAGCACACCTGAGAGCTGCTCTGACTTCTGCAACCAGAGTCGACCTAAAGCAGCTACACACCTTATTCTGACAGTGTCTCTGCAGGGAACAGGTAAGAAAAACCAGACCCTGGCAGCATAGGGTGAATTTGTTACTAAGTGCTCTCAGAACCAGGACTGTAATTCCTTAAATAACTTCAAAATCTTTGTGCACAAATGGGCTGGGATACCGGTGCTCTTCACCTCACACCTAATTCTAAGGACTGGAGTCAAATGACACAACCCAAGATCAGAACACTGGTCTCGCTCTGTAAATGTGTGTGAAATTAGGATTATATGTATCAGATTTCTCATTCTTTTACTGTTGAGACAGTTCCAGAGGRAATACAGCAGTAACTGACCACTTGCTGTGCCCAGCACTGGAGACAAGTAAGAGATTTATTAACCTAGTAACAGCACGTGTGCAGACCTGGGGAAGGACTGTGTCACACCGTGAAACAGTCATTTTACTCTCCACAGACGTTCAGTACCCTCCTCTTGTTCCTTGAAATGCAGGGTTTCCTATCCCATRTAAAACAAGAGCCCTTCCAGACTGTCACATGGGGTATCTGCTGCTCTTCCTTGGGAAACTGCAGATTTGCTGCCCCTCCCTAATTAAGCACTAAGGAATTAAATGTTCAGCCCAAACAATGGTTCTGTAACTGCCACAAAACTACTGGCAGAATGAATTCAACTATGAAAAGCAGAACGTGACATTCACTATTTTCARTATTTGTTTTCCATTTTAAATATTTCCCCCCTAGCTATATTATCATTCAAGTTTTTAATACTGTGTTTTAGCTCTCACAACTGACATAACTATGTCCTCTTGTGAAGAAGTGCTCATGTCTAAAGCATTATGTAATTATAGCTTAAATCTGATACAATTTTAAAGTCTGTTTATAGTCACCATTGAGAAGTTTCAAGCATTGGCAGAGACAGTGGCACATGAAGTAATTACTTTTCAACATTTCTCTTTAGCTGCTCATCTGGAATTGAAGTAGTTATTTACTGAAGTATCCATATCCTCCCATAACCTTGCAAGCAACTTTGTTATTTTGTCTTTTATTTAACTGTGTTAATTTAACATTTTTCTGTTATTTTGTTACACCATTTGTTTTCTGTTATATCAGTGTTAATTCCATTGGGAAGAAAAAATTAATTTCCACYATACTCGAGACACATTTTTATTCCTATACATCACAAGGAGCCTGTTATTTGACTCCTGATAAAACCAAACACTTCACCATAGTTGTACCCACGATATGGAAAGACAAAGCAGACCAAAGAGAAAAGGTAGAAAAGGCCATTTTTTCATGACAAGTGCTGCATATTATGTAACTTCATCACCTCTTTGTAAGAATTATCATTTCCGTTCAGGATTATGAATGGTCTGTGTGTTTATTACTCAGTATGTACAGTAAATATTAATTACTGTACATACTGAGTAATAAACAGAGTTACTATGCAAACTAGAGGCACTGAATTACTGGGATTATTGGGCACTTGTTCCTTGTGCATTTATGCCATGACACTGCATAAATGAAAAGGACCAGAAGACACTGAGGTTCCTCCAAATAGTTCTTTTCATTAGTCCTCATTTTTGAAAGAAAATGGAAAAAAAGGTTTTTTTTCCTCTAAGTAGATGCTCAATGTACTCCTGATAGCCCTGAGAGCCTGAGCACCACTGCCAGTACTGTCCTTGTCCCAGGAATGCTGTTCCCTGCACTGTTCTGGGCATGCGCTTGGTTTAACATGCAGCAGTAACCAACAGGAAAACACCAAAATATTTGYAATGCGTGACAAATAAAAATATAGCTTGTATTATGAAGGCATGCAAAATATACACAGTGCAATTAATGTTTCATGCAAACTTTGGTGGGGTTACAATTCCACATTCAAACATGCCACAGTCCACAGCTGTCGTCCGCAGGAACCACCACCCGCGATCAACCAGGAACGGTTCCTTCATTGTAGGGAAGTTTTCTCTGACATCCAGTGGACATGGAGAACACCTCTATGGCATGTTAGACTTATACAGATTTAACAACACAACTTTCTTTCATACACAGCCATACTCGTACCACAGGGTCTGGTTATCTTCTGAGACCAGCAGTGGGGATTGGGCCTCGGCAGCACCGGGGCCAGAGGCAGGGACAGGGTCCCTGGTGAGAGCTGCCCGCGGGTCACCCTGAGCCTTTGGAGCAGCACAAGGCTGTTCCTGGCTCCTTGGCACTGACCTAAATGCCGACACGTTTGCCTGATCAGCCGCTTTGGAGGTGGACCTCGGGGGCAATCCACTTATATTGCTGACTAATTCAGTGTTAAGGGATAAAAATGGCTGGGGAGCAGTGAAGGATCCTGTGCTGCCATTCCCAGATCCACTGACTTTATCCCAGAACACAGTTGCACTTGGCAAAGTCCTCTCATGACAACCTGGCCTTTCCATCCTGGAAGGCTTGAAGAGCTCAGTGTTACCTCCTAAATTATGTGGTGTGAGCGAGTGAGCTGCCTCTCCCTGCGGGCCACGCTCCACCCTGCCAGGCACACAGTGAACAAAAGGAGAGGACACCCGGAGTGCCGAGTACTCACTGGAGGTGGGTGGAGCACTCCTGTCAGCCGGGGCCAGGGYTGCATCCACGGACACGGGCGGCCTACTGTCCTTAGACAAAAAATCGTGGATGCTTGTCCTTCGGGTGGTTCCTTCTGCTGTGGAAATCACACTGCTGGCACGAGGTAAGGTGGCGTAAGGGTTGCAGTCCCTGGATTGTCGCTGGGTCACACTCGCTTGGATCTTTTCTTTCACGGATCTGTTTTTCCCCTGGGCACCAGGAGTGAGTTTGATTGGAGAGCTACTGAAGTAGAGATCTTCACTCTTCCGGAGGCTGGGCCTTACCAGCTGTTCTGGTTTAAGGGATCGTCCATCTGAGAAATCAACTGTGTTTCTGACACTCAGGGATCTCACAATCCCACAGCCAGCTGCCGGCTGCTTTCGCAGTTTCTCCCTCCCTGCCAACTCCGCAGACTCAGACAAGCTTCTCATCACTTCATCTAAAAGATTCTCTTCACTTGCAGATTTAATCTGTAAAAATAGAAAGCATTAGTTTCTAAATGTATTTTTTTCCTTTTCTTAAGCAATTTTTGTGGACATAGATGAAGAACARTTCAACAAAGATTTGGGGTTGTTAAGATTTCTCAGCTCTAAAAGCAGTATTAAACATTTATGAGACAGGAGTTTTCTGTACAGTTTACAAWAAASAGTTTRGGCAAATAATACTCAGACTCAGTGRAAAAAGACAGCTGTTGTTTTAAAAATGGTATCAGAGAAAAGACAGAATTAAGCTAAAGGCATTAAGGAAATGCTCTGGCAGAAGACCGGAAAAAGATCTCTTGAATACCCTTCCATCCAGAAAGATTCTGTGACACTATGAAAGGGATTCTGGGATTTGTGAACAGCAGTGGACCTGGCTTGATAACTTAGGTGGGGTTTTATTTTAAATTGCCAGGAGAGTTTTGTCTAATGCCTAAACCCCAAAAATCCTTGTCAGGTTATGATGACAATTTTAAGTATGTAACCAAAAAATGCAGAATCTTCTTCAGACCCAAGTCACTGCCCCAAACAAGCCTGAATCCTCACCCCCGAGAGGCCTCAGTCACAGTGACTGGCTGGCTTTATCCTGTAGCAGGATATCCTACAGGAGTTTGGGCAGATCTAACTCAAGAACTAGGGATGCAGAACCTGGAATACCACCAGAGATGGAGTGATTTGGGGCTTCTAAGAAACTGTCACTGATTTACAGAAACATTTTGTTTGCCTCACTCCTTGATTTCAATAGCACCAAGGTCACTTTTAGTTTCCCAGTATTGTTAAGAAAATGAAACTGAAGCAGACAAGAATCTCCTCAGGGAATGAAGCCAAACATCTTCCTTCCTGTTGATGTAGGACAGATGTGACAACAGCTACTGCTGGACTGGAAGAAGAGTGAACCTATTCTGAGCCTTGGCATCCCGTGCACCAGACACTGAACAGCTTTGTCAGTACAGGTCAACTTTCCTACCCAAGCCAGCAACCACAGAGGGTCAAGCTGCAAAATTCCACAAGTTTCGTGCCAGTGGAATGGGAGAGTGCATCAGGAGACAGTGCACATGAGCTCTCAATGCAGGCATGACCAACAGCTCCAGCAAGTTCTTTATGSAATTCTACTCACTGTGCCTTGCATTAATTCTGGCCCACTGATGGGACACTACACAGTTAAATACTCTTGAACTGACCTCATTGGAATTACTCTTGTTGCTTTCTTCCAGGAACTGCTGCAGGGTGACAACTTCACTTCCAGGGGAGCCCATTTTGATCTGTCTGCCACGACTCTCCAGCGTCTCGGACATTCTGTGCTGGAGCACAGGGCTAGACCTGGTGTGACCCTTCAGGTACTGGATGGGGCTGCTGCTGCTGCTGGACCAGGCCTCGTGCTCATGGAGCAGGCTAAACTCCCCACTGCTGTGGCTCTGGGGCCTGCTCTGGCTGTTCACTGCACCTGCTTTGGGGAATATGGCATTAGGTATTTCCATTAGAAATATACAGGAAAGCTGTAAACCTGTATAACCTTTTCAAATCTAGAATGTCACCAGATTCACTTAACACTCATTCTATTTAAAATACTAAAGAAAAAAAAAAATCCCTCTCCTGACTTACCTTTTGCAGCTCTTCTAACATGACACATTTTTTTTTTAATAAAAACTACCTTTCACTTATAATCTGGGCTTCCACCTAGATAATATTATATTCCAAGAGGCTAAAGAGAYGCCTCCACTCTTGATCAGCATCACTGAGAAGCATATGGTAATTAAATGCTAAAGGAAAGATTGAGTGGAAAGAACTACTCAGGAATGCTTCTTCTCCAACAATTCCTGCTGTTATTCCTAGTTTGTTACAACTGGGATCTGAAGGAAGCACATGGTGTTAAATGCAAAATAAATTKCACAGTACCAATTCATTTTGTCATTAACTATGAATTGCTTAAARAATACTGATGGATAATCAAGTATTCCCAACTTCAGGTTACTCCTGAGAAATGAAATTAAGTTTGAACCAAGAGAAAATGTTTACACTGAAAATGCCTAATCCTGTAGACACTGGGCGAGGAGGGCCTCAAGGAATCTTTTACAGAAGGGAGCAATCAAACAGATATAAAACAAACTATTTAGAAATATTCACCTACCATTCATTCCTAAATTTCCAAACAAACAGACACCATTTAATAGATGCAAGCCATGAATATTAAATGAAGTCTTCATCTGGCAGTGCATTAATCTAGTCTGTACAACAGTCTCCAGCTAAAAAAAGCCATTAGATACAAAAATGTATCCGGGTTCTTAATATATAAAATTTAGAGACTAGTGATAAACCCAGGAACGTTATTAATATATTAAAACTAAAAAAATTAAAGTTTGTGTCATGAATCACATGTGCCATTTTGTCCAGTTGTACAGCACACAGCTCACAGCAGCAGTGCACATGCAGGATGATGCTTGGAAAATAAAAAAGGAGCAACTTCTCAGCTYAAAAAGGTTTTAAAGAATTTGGGGGCGAATTCTTATTTTGTAACATTGTTACCTGGGTTAGGTTTGGTTTAAAATAGTTGGCAATTTAAAAACTAGTATCACTCCTTTAGTATGYATTAAAACCATAAAATACCTGTGCTCCTAATCTGGGCAACAAAGGCTGTGAAACGCTCAAGTAAAGCACATGCTGTGGTGTGCAGTGGGAATTTTTTGGTTGTGGGGGTTTTTTAACCTATACAGATGAGCTTACATAGAGAAAAGAATGGAAATGAAGCACAGATGTGAATTCACCCCCAGCATACCTTTGACTTCATGGAGTGAAGCATTGTTATTGCTATTGCTAGTGGATGTCCTGCCACTATCAAGGCTGGCTGGTCTGGAAGCTGAATGGAAAATTAGGAGACACCGTGATGAACAACATTTTAGCAGAGGACACGGCACCTTCACATTCTGCTCACAGAATGCTCAGAGGATCATGCAYGACCTCCCAGGCTGAACATGCCCATGGGAACAAAGTGGTTTCTTACAGATCAGAAAGCGAAGGAATTTCCAGGCAGTCCAAGAGGACACTTTGGAAAAGGGCACTACAGGAATAGCATGGTACAAAGGAGAGGAAAAGAGAAAGAGTGTAGTTTAGAATTGAAACGGAGTGGTCAGTGGGGAAGCAGGGCTCAGAGAGGGGCATGCAGGGGCTGCTGTGGTCAGGTCACTTACAACAGATCTGACAGGGAACCCTGCACAGGGCTGCAATGCCACGGACAGGAGGAGCAAGAGCATCTGCACAGATAAAGTCCTGTACTCCTAAGCCAATACAAGGGAAATGCACTGTTAGTAGCCTCAAAAATGTTTGCTGCTTGTACTCATTGAAAATGTTTATAGTAAAGTTAAAACTTCATTTCTATTATTAGCCTATTTTTCACTTCAAAGCTTTGCTTGAAGGAACACATAATGATTTGATAAACTACAGCACATGGCAAATTTGGGGTTCACTCAACAATAAACATTGAAAACTCAGGCCAAATTTGGACTTGATATTTTAGGACTGAAATGCTAACTTCCTTTATTTACTATTAACTCCAAATGGAAGTTAAAACATTTTCCCACTAAAGAGGAAAAAATGTTTTGATCCTGTTCAGATGCACTTCACAAATACTTTCTACCAGAGAYACAGAACATCTGTCTGATGTAGTAAAGAAAGAAAGGAGAATCTGAAGAAATGATACAATACATTCGAGAGATATGAAAATCTGAGAGCATGCTCATTGCAATGATGCCRTTCAATGTATTTTCACAAATTCATTAACATTCACATCATATATCCTTAAATCATTTAATTAAAGCTCACATCTTACCATGAACTCTTGATCCTGTACTAGAATCATCACTAATACCTTGTGGACTTACATCTTCAAAGGATGTAGTATCTACACACAGAGACATAAAGCAAGATGTAAAATAAAATAAAACGGAAAGATTATTAGAATTCTTATCATTGGTATAATGGTAAAAATTAAAATATTTGTCAAAGCAATCAATTTTGACATAGGAAACATTCTTAAACCAGTTCACTACTTAGCACTGTAACTCAATTATTAAGATTGAAAAACTTAAAACATAAGCAAAATCAGTATTTACATAGTGACATCATGGTGCAAAAAGCTTCTACCTATACCTTTATTATTTAGCAACTGCTTGGATCTGAAGCCTGTGGAGGAGTTGACAGTGGCAAAGTTGATAGCTGTAGTAGAGAAGGCCATAGCTCCCAATTCCTTCCTCCTTTTACCCGTGGATATATCATCAGGACCCTCCAGATGCTCAGAACTACCTGTCCATTGTCCTCCTGCCAGGACCATGGACTGCACCAGGTCATTCATGGCTGGGATGCAAATGAAAGCAAATGATCAGCGTGGGCAATGTACCTGCTCCGGTTCTTAATTTGCATTGCAAAGGTCGGACAGTTTTCTAAGCATTAAAGCGCCCGTAGCCGGCAGGAACAAACCACACCCCGGGTACCACATGCAACCGGCTCAGCGGGAGGRARGGAGGGARGGAGGGGGCACAGGCTCCTGCAGCCCAGGGAGGTGCTCAAAACAGGTTTGTCAGCGGGATCGCCATGCGCCAGGTGTTGTTAGAGGCTCTGACACGCTGCTTGCCATGAGAAAATGGGATGAGCAGGGACAAAACGGGCACAGGTGCTCATACAACGGAGTGCCAGTGCTGACACGGGATCCTTGTACGGTGCAGGTTACTGCAGGCACACTGGGGTTTACAGAGCAACAGAGAGAGGATCTGAAAAATACCACATCTGATGATATTCACCTTTAGTTCCCCAAACTCGAGAAAACTGTCCACCCCTCATTATAAAATAAGACAAAACAAAAGAAATCAATGCAACATTTTGGCAACGAGAACTGATGAACACTCGCAGAGTGACAGACCACCAGAGAGCCTCGCACAATCTCCTACACTTGCTTTAAACAAAAAAAATTACAGTGACTTCTTAACAAAAGGCTTATGAAACGTGTCATTTAAAACTATTTCCGTTAACACAGTGCACTGTAAATTTATATACACATGGGGCCATGTGTATATAGACATCTATGTATACAAATATATGCAGTCACAATGCACTGAATAGATTATATGCACGTGCATGGGAACATGTGGCTATGTGTGTGTCCACAGCTGCACAGATATAAAGTATTCAGTGCCAAAGTTTAAAAAAARAAAAAAAAAAAAGGGGGAAAAAAGTAAAAAGCTCCAGCTCCTTGTATCGTAGCAGGACTTGCACATTGCAAAAGAGGAGGAAAAATAGAGCGCAGTCCAGGGAGAGGTTAGTGAAAAATTAGTAACGGAAGCCAGTGTAGCCATTGAGAAGAAGCTGAACTGTCATAAAAGTCTTACACATGGAGCGACGGTAGAAGGCCTTCATTTTGTCTTTTTCCTTCGGTCTGTTCCTCAAAAAGGGCAGTCTTTTCAGTGCACCCACTTTTATGTCATAGCATGAGGAAAAACGGAAACAGGGAAATGAAAGAAAAAAAGGGAGAAGAACAGATGGAAGTTAAATGTTGAAACTAAGGACAGAAATGAATGTTTGAGTTTATCCTAGGTATGCTATGCTAAAAGCTATCAATCTCCTGTTTCTGGGTGATCGTGAAATTTGAAAGCTACACTGGAACAGAGAAACTACACTAGGAAAACTTCCACAGATAACTCAGAAATGCACTGAAAATTACAGTGCAGAGGGTATCACAGTCTGAAGCTCTTGAAAAAATAAATGCAACTTTGCAGGTGACTACATGAATTGAACACTATATAATTTTTACTGTGAAAAATTAACTKTTTTTTGAACATAAAGAAAAATGTGAAGAAAAGAAAGCTGGAAATGAAAGCAACTCKAAGTACAATTTCTATGTTAAAGTATGTTCACGTGAGTATTTTTTGGGGTTAACAACTTCTCTAAAGCTTTGCCTGCACATCTAGGAGGACACARTCTAATATCAGTCTTTAGTTCTTCCATTTTGAGCTCAGTAATAACTTTGGTCATCTACTGTCTTGTAGAAGACCTGCGAGGGCTTTTGGATCAATCTAACTTGTGGGGAAGTATTTTGGCAAAATACTAAAATCAATCTGTTTCAAATGCACAAATATTTTAGCTGAAAAAATACCAAAGGAAAAAAAAAAACAAAGCAGCAAAAGAAAATCCAAATGTGAGTGTTGCTGTAACATTTTGGGAGGGCCCAAGGAAAACTGAGTTAAATTCTACCAGGAGAATTACAGAGTTAAAATTACAAATAGTATTAAAAGAGGGAGAAGGGGGAAGTCACGAGTTAATCTTGTCCTTGGAGTCAGGAACTCTGCATTAGGAACTGCTGACCTGCCTTGGGTAAATTTGGGGGCTGATGCCAGGTAAAGGAACTACCATGTAAAGATCCAGAAGGAGACACACGATGAAATTCCCCACAAGTGGTGAGTTCTGCAGAGATGGCAGCAGTTCTGGTTTCTGCAGGGAGGTCTGTCAGACCATGCTCTGCCTGGTTTCTGTCTCTGCAGCCCCTTCTGGGARGTGTCCCCTGCTCCCCCAGCCTGACATACAGCAGTTCTGTTTACAGAGCAGTGCATATATATCATATATACCATTTACAAGTGCACATGAGCTACCTGGC